CATTAGTAAACCAGGCAAAATGGTGCTTTTCAGGAGCCAGGTCCTCATTAGGTAGGAGCCAATTGGACTAGGGAGGGAGACAGGGTTTCTGTCTTCAGTTAGGTCTGAATAGGAGGTGTCAGCCTCCGGCAGAGGTATAGCTTGTTAAGAGCACTAGGATCTGAACAGTTGTGATTTTGAATGTACTATGTTTTATTTAGTGATAGAGACTTCCTATCTCCTATCCATCTTCCTTTACCACAATCATAATAGGCAACTCTTGACAAAGAGTGATATATGACCTTGCACCATCTGTTTAGTAGCAACTAGGTCCCAGTAATAGGTGAATGACTACTTTTTTTTTTTTTTTTGACAAGGCAACTGGGGTTAAGTGACTTGCCCAGAGTCACACAGCTAGTAAGTGTTATGTGTCTGAGGCCGGATTTGAACTCAGGTCCTCCTGACTCCAGGGCTGGTGCTCTATCCATTGCACCACCTAGCTGCTCCAACTACTTCTTTTCTAAATTGGTGTAGGGAATAGATGCTTTTGCAAACTTGTAAACTCCAAAAGCCTAACAGTTACTTATTTTGGTCACCCCTTATTGCTTGCCAGAAAGTTTACTCAGCCTGGTCTTTATGAACAGAGACTTCCAAAAACATGAGCCCTAGTGTCATAAGGGCCCAGAATGAGAGACTTCTTGGATGACCCAATTTGGATCCGGGGTTGTAGCCTGTTTTGGGCTCCACTCAAAAAAGGCAGAAATGAGTGTGGGAGCCAAGAAACATGGGCCATCAGAATACCTGGGGGTGGGAGGAGCAGAATGTAGTTTTTCTAAAACATGAAAAATCCAGTAGGTCTCATGGGGAAACAAATGTCAGTTGCTTATAATGGATTGCTCCTGGAATCCTCTGGGTTTTCACCACCTACTGTATTTCTCAAAACTTGACTGAGCTGGCTGGACCCTGGATTTTCTTTAGGTTGATTTCCCATCCCTTGTCCCTCTTATGGGCCACAATTAAATCTAAGGCCTCTGCTACCACAGCTTCACTTAGCCCTTTCAACATTGTGTCATTAATGTATTGTATACTAATGCCCTCAGGACGGAAGACCTCACTTTCAGGTCTTTGTCCACCAGAATGTAACAGCTTGGGAGAGAGAGCTCAAGTAGCCTTGGAGAAGAATGGTAAAGGAATATAAGACTCCTCAGGCTCCCAACTACTCAGGAATAGAAAAGAAAGCACTGGTAAAGTTAATATACTCTAGAAGTCATGTCAGGAGAGCCTGAGGCCACTAGAAAGCAGAGTCAGCAGCTAGGTATGTGAGACTTAGCTACCTTACCAATCAAATCTTAGGGGCAGCTTCCATGGCTTTTAGTAAAAGAACTAGCCTGACCTTACACTTGTTGTTTAGTCATTTCAATCATGTCTGATTCTTCATGACCTCATGCGGGGTTTTCTTGGTGAAGATACTGGAGTGGTTTTTGCCATTTCCTTCTCCAACTCTTTTATTTATTTTTTTTCTTTAAACAGATAGGAACTCAAGCAAACAGCATTAAGTGACTTGCCCAGGGTCACACAGATACTAAGTGTCTGAAGCCACATTTGAACTCAGAAAGATGAATCTTCCTGGTTCCAAGCCCAGTGCTCTATCCACTGTGCCACCTAGCTGTTCTTAACCTTAAATAGAGGGAGTTGAAAGTAACTTGGGTATAGCACACAGTGGTTCTATAATATGTAGAGGTGGGATGCAATCACCCCAATTTCATCTGCAAAGAGGAGCATCTGGAAGAACTTAACCATTAAGGGATAAGCTCTTCTATTTGGACTTTATGCAACACATCCTCCATGACTTTTTGGTGAGCATACAGTGCTTGATCTATTGTTTGACAATGATAGTCAAAGAATCATTGAACAAAAGCATCTCTGATTGCATCTTTTAAGAGCTATTATATAATCTTAATATATGCATGACAGATATTTTCTTGGAGCAAAGCCTCTTGGGCTACAATCTTCCCTACAAAGTTAAATGCTTCTTAATAATCAACAAGATTAATATAAACAAAAATTAACAAGAATAAATATGATATTATCTTATATTCTCTAATCCTTTGTGGTCTACTAGAAATCATATACAGAAGGATAGCCTTAGTGCATATGTAGATAATTCTCATAAAAAATTTATAAAACCGAAAAAGTAGGCATATGAATGAGTAGTTACTGATGTCTTCTCACTTTCTTTTTTTTTAAATTGATATTATATATAATTCTTTCCAATTATCGAGTATCCTCATCTTAAATAACTTGAAAGTCATTTCTTCAGTGCTTTCAGAATTGAATCATAGCCAGAATGGATCTCTTCTATGTGTGCTTCATCTGATTTGGCTGTTCTACCGTATTTCATTTTTTCTCATTGTTTTTACATCATTTCCTGATATCCCCCCCCACCTACCATCGCCACTATACACATACACTATCCTTATTTGAACCCTCCCATATATCACAAAAAAATTTAAGGAAAACATGAACAAAGCACATAAGTCTGGTCATGTAGGCCATATTCGATGCCCTTGGTCCCTCTAATAAGAAGAGAATGTGTGTTAGTTACATTACTTTTTTTTTTTGCAACCTAGATTGTTCATTGCAGTTAATCTGAGTTCAAGTGTCTTTTAGTATTTTTAAAAAAATATTATTATGGTCTGCTTTTTATCATGGCATAAAAATCTAAGCAAGTTTGTTTAAATGTCATTCATCATTTTTTATGGCATAGCTGTATTTATAATTCTTCTATTCTTAATTAGTGGGCACCCATTTTGTTGCCAGTTTTTGGGGGGTTTTTTATGCCATAAAGAGCCCAGCTAGGAATATTTTGTTGTATACGGGACTTCTCTTTTTTTCAAACAAGTTTCAATTTTTATTGATATCCATTGTTTTTACATTGGCATCATATCTGAATGATTTCTTCCTGTCACCTCTGTCTGTGCCTTGTAACAAGGAATAAAAAGTAAAGAGGGAAGGAAAGTAAGACTAACCTGTACAATATAATCATTATGCAGTGGTCCATATCCATGGTGCCTAGTTCTGCAAAGAAGGGATGGAGATCCTGTGAGCATAGATTTAAAGCTAGAAGTGACCTCAGTGATCTCATTTTCTCAGATGAGGAAACTTGAGGTATAGTGAGTTGTTTAGGGTAATCACCAAGAGAGGAGGGATCTGAATTCTAGTTTCTGACTCCACAACTAGGACTTGTTCCATGAACACAGTCTGCCTCTCTGGTATTATGTTCATTTCCTTTTGAGAGTCAATACTAGTGATTATAATTATACAATATTCAGTTTCATTCTTTCTTTCCATTTTTCCATTTATGTTATTGGCTTCATTGTGTGTATTTTTCCCTAGGTCTGCATACTTCACTCTGTTTCAAATTATAATTCTTCTCAGATAGATATCTCTTAAGTTCTTCATATTCATGTCTTAGGTTTCATTTTTATGCCATAGTATATCTAGTCATTCCTCTAATAAATTAACATCTACTTTGCCTCCAATTCTTTCCCTCTACAAAAATGCTCTTATGAATATTTATTTTGTTATATATATAGGACTATTCTTCTTTCTTTCTTTTTTTTTTCCCTGACCTCCTTGGTGGGCCAGCTCAGAGTCTAAATGTGTGGGTATTTTAGCTACTTGCTTAACATAATTCCACAGTGGCTGGACTAAGTGAATTAGTGAGTGTCTGTCTTTTACACTCCTACAGTACTGACTATGCCCAATTTTCATCATCTTTGCCAGTTTGTTGGGTGTGAGAAGAAATCTCAGGCTTGCTTTGATTTGCATTTCTTTTATTATTAGTGATTTGGAGCAGTCTGTTTTGCTGTTAAAGTTTGCATTTCTTTTTGACAACTGTTGATTCTTATCTTTTGACCATATATACATTGAATAATGATTGTTGGGGACTTTTCTTTTCACTGGTGAAGTGTCTGAGTAAAAGGGTATCAACAATTTAGTAACCTTTTTTCCCCTAGTTTCAAATTGTTTTCCAGAATGGTTGCACCAGTTCATAGTGCTACAGTAAGCAAGTCAGCATGCCTGTCTTACCACTCCTATCTTCAATGAGTTTCTAATGAATTTCTTCTAGTTTGAGGTAATTCCTCAAGGTTGTTTGAGTTTGTTTTTCTTTGATTATTACTACTCTTTCATTTCATTCAAAAATATCCTGAAGCACATTTCCATTTTCCTTTGTTACAATAAAGTCACCAACTATCAAATTATATGCTAACTTGGTTTGGAGGGATTTTTTAAGATCATCATAGAATTATCCTACCTCTATATCATCTGCAACAGAAATTCATGCATACAGGGCAAATTTACATGGTCTTTTTGCTTGTGCTTCTGATGAACACTTCAAGATTAGATGATCAAATATCCAATGAAATCATCTCTTTTGGGGAGCTTTTTGATTGACTTTGTATTCATAAACAAACTTGGCTATATTCTTGATTGCTTTACAGTTTCTGCTTGGAGGAAATATCAGTCCTTTCATTTACCTATGACTTCTTTACGTTTTCTGGTTGCATTTACAGTGAAAGTATCAATATTGATATTGTTCATTTTCCTCTGAAGTATGGCAACACTGGGCATTAGATAAGTATGTCACATTTCAAAGTACTAATATCAAAGTTAATGTTTATGAATGACCTAGCAACTATGATATTTTTGGCATCCTCTGCCCAGAGGACTGAGACTTTGTACTTTTCCTTGTGTATATATATATATATATATATATATATATATATATGTAAAATATATATCTAGAATATAGAGCCACCTCCATGGCGTCATAACTTGTGTGTCTAGTCTAAGCTATGCAAATCCATCCATGTATTGCCTATGTCATATGTTAAAACATGGCCCTTAGGAAATTATTGTCTTAGGTATTTCACTTTTCATTTTTGTGCCAAGGTTTCTGTAGTATCTTTTCTATTTATCTTAGTAGATGACTGTACCATTGTCTTTCCACTCATTAGGTTTTCCAGAAGGATGGACACTCAATCTGTTTTGATACATCCAACGAGGATGACTGCAACTGGATGATGATGGTGAGGCCAGCAGTAGAATATGAACATCAGAACTTGACTGCCTTTCAGCATGACAATGACATTTACTTCACTACCTCCCGGGACATTCCTCCAGGCACCGAGTTGCGAGTGTGGTATGCAGCTTTTTATGCCAAAAAAATGGAGAAGCCAGTGCTGAAGCAGGTCTCCAATATTGTGCATGGTATGTGGGGGAATGACCGATATTTATCCCCCTTTTTGGATACATAGCCAGTATTCCCTTCTGCCTTTAGCAGACATGGTAGTGCACACCTAGTAAAGAATTCTGCATTAATAAAATAAGCTAGTTTCATATACTGGGTTAACCTTTCTTAAGAAGGGCAGGTTTTTGTCTTTGGGTGGTTTGATTTGGTTGTGACTTCTTAAAAAATCATGGACTTTACTTTCCTGTAATGTTAAAAATGATTTACCTGTGGAAAACTTCAATTTTTCTTCCCTATCATCTGCCCTGCAAATGTTTACAGCTAACTAAAAAAGGGACCAGGCCAGAAAATGTTAAAGAATTAACTAAAACTAGTACTGGAAAAATCACTTAAAGTTCTAGTCCTGCTAACCAAGCAGCAGTAACATTCTTTTTTGTTTATTAAGGATAATATGTTGCTTTTAAAGTTTTTCCTTTATCTAAGAATGCGGCTTTCATCTTTTAATTGGAAAAAAATCTACTCTTATCGACTTTGTCTTGGACTTTTTCTCACTCTTATTTTTTCACCCTTTATAAAATACTCAGAGGCAGCTGTAGTGTTGTGGGAAGAGTTCTAGATTTGGAGTCACAGGATTAGAATTCACATCTCAATTCTGCTGTTTACTAAACTACATAACTTAATCCTCTTTGAATGATAGTTTGCTATGTAAAATGAGGCCAGCAACAGAATACAAGCATCAGAACTTTTGGACAACATGCTTTTGTAGGCTCCTTTCATTTCTCTTTACTGTGATTCTAACAGAGGTTCCCAAAGTGGCCGATACTGCCCTCAGAGGGGCACTGGAAGGATCTAGGGAGATGGTAGTAGCCTCGGGTGTAATTGGGGGGCATTGAATAAGACCAAGGGGGCAGTGGAAGCATAAGGAAAGAAGAGAAGAGAAGAAAATTTTGAAAACCATTCATACATGTTTCATCTATTGTGTAACAGAGTTAAAGTCGTAGTGATTACATTATTTTCCAAATAAACACACAAAATGCAAATTATAATCAATCAGTAGTCAAGTCTGCTGATAGGTTTTAACAAGCAAGTGTTGACAGGCAAGTGTGTGGCACATTGTTGGGAAGTCCAGCATGCATTGGCAGGAATATGTGTGTGTAGTAACTTGTTTACAACATGATGCTGTATGGTTACATGATGCAATATTGCATCATCAAAATTTCAATGCAGAAAAAAACCCACAAATTTATAATAAACTATTAAATTTAAGATGTGTCATTTTAAAAAACAAATTATATATTTTATAAAATAACACGGATTTCAAAAAAACTGTTAAAGAGTTAAAGAAAGTAGATTTCCATGGGGGTGCTGAATAATATATATGTATATATATATACACTTTTTTTTGAAAAGGGGACAGTTAAGTAAGTGTTTTTTTTTGAAAAGGGATGGGCCAAATAAGTTTGGGAACCTCTGTTCTATCCTGTTCCAATAACCCTTAAATCTGGGCTATTTCTCCACTGCTTAAGTGAGGATCTTTTTTTCCTCTGGGAAGAAACTCTTAGCAATGGTCAAGGAAAAGTAGCAATTCTTCTCTTTCTTTGTTTAGCAAAATTTAGCAATTTAATCTCCCTGGGAGGGAGGGAGGGAAGAACCTGTTGTTTTTCAATGATGAAAAATATCCCCATTGGCTACTTTGGGTGGAAACAGTATGCAAAAAGTCTAGAAAGATGAAATAGAGTCAAATTGTGAAGGGCTTGAAATGACAAACTAATAAGTTTGTATTTTATTGATGAGATAATAGGTTTTTGTTAAAAATTCTTGATAATTGTTACAGATGATGATGATGATGATGATGATGATGACAGCCATTTATATAGCACTTGCTATGTGCCAGACACTGTGCTAAGCACTTTATATTATCACATTTGATACTCAGAATAACCTTGAGTGATAGGTGTTATTTTTATTGACACTTTTACAAATGTGGAAATGAGATAGAGATTAAATGATTTGCCCAGGTTTACACAGTTAAGTAAGTGTTATAGATCAAATTTGAACTCAGGTCTTCCTGACTCCAGGCCCAACGCTCTATCTACTGCACCACCTTACTGCTTTTGATGTATTTAGACCTGTGCTTTAAGAAGATAACGAGACTAGAAGCTTAGAAAGTCACTTTGAAACCTATTGCTGTAGTCTAGGCCACAATGGATGAGACCTAGAATTATGTTTCGTGGTCATAGAGTTGGGGGTGAAGGGGCCGGGAGGTGAGGGAAAAGAGGTTGGTCCAACAATTGGCTTGACTAAAGAATTCATTCAGCTTTTGTTCTTAAACAAGGCTTATTCACTGATCATAAAAATGATCATAAACAAGCTAATAATGTGACACACCACAAGATGTGAAAGTTAGTCTACAAACACTTACTAAATGCTTACCATGTGCCAAACACTGTTCTAAGTGTAGGGCTACAAAGAAAGGCAAAAACTTGATCCCTGCCCTTAAGAAGCTAGCCTCCTTTGCTCCTATTGACATGCTACCAATCAGAACTGGAAAAAAAAAATCATCGACTGTGTGGGTTGGATCCACTATAAATTTATTAATTTCACCTAAGCCCTGATTGCAACATGGTGACCTTTTTAAACCTTCCTGATTTATTCCCTGTACTTCTCAATGTAGTAGCTATTCCAAAACTTTTCATACCTCCTCAACCCTCCAAAAACTCTTTCTTCCTCCACCCTCTCAGCTGAGAACTTCACCTTATTTTATCTCATATCACTTAGGCAACTTTCCTAAATTTCTTTTTCTTCATCCTTATATTACATAAAGAGGTAGCCCTTTTCTTTCTCAAGGCAAACCCTTCTATGTGTATGTATCCTTGATCCCATCCCTGCCCATTTTCTCTGACAAATTGCACCCAGTGGTCTTTTCTTAATCCTCATTCTTCTAGACCTCTCTGCGTTCTTTTTTTTTTTTTTTGAGGCAGTTGGGGTAAAGAGACTTGGTCAGGGTCACACAGCTAGTGTCAAGTGTCTTGTCTGAGGCTGGATTTGAATTCAGGTCCTAGAGCCAGTGCTCTATCCACCTCTGCATCCTTTGATACTGATTATCCTCTTCTCCTGGATCCCCTCTCCTCTCTTTAAGTTTTCAAGTTCTCTTCTTACCTGTCTAACAATTCCTTCTTAGTCTCCCTTGCTGGATCTTTATCTATATCCCTCTCATTAACCATAGGTATCTCCCAAGTCCTGGGCTCTTTATACTATCTCACTTGGTGATCCCATTAGCTCCCAAAGATTCAAATATCAGCCCTACACAAATGATTTCCAGATCTTTGTATCAAGCTCCAGCCCCTTTCCTGAGCTTCTTTCCCATATCACCATCTATCTGCCTTTTAGATTATCTTAAATTAGTGGCTAAACAGAAAATTTTTTATTTGTTCCTGGAGACAATAGGGAACCCCTGGAGTTTATGGGTGGAGGGAGGTTGTGACATCGTCTGACCCATACTTTAGAACAACCTGAGTGGATGATGGATTATACGGGGAGAGATGTGAAGCAGGGGGATCTTCCAGAAGGTTATTGCAGTGCTTCAGGCACTAAGATGGTGAATGCATGATGAGAAGAGGATATAACATTACGAAGGTAGGAAAGAAAAGACTTGACCAGAGTTTTGGATATGTGGGGTCAGTGTGAGTGAGGAGTTGAGGATTACATTGAAATTGGGAGCCTGGTGACTGGGATCCTGGTGTTGCTCTCGGCAATAACAGGAACGTTGTGAGGATTTGTCTGAAAAGGTAATGCGTTCGGTTTTGGACCATCTTGTAATGTTTCCAAGCCTACTCTGAAAAGCAGATTGTTCAATGAAAAGCGAAAAGTAAACAAGTCGATTACCCAAGAGAAGCAAGAATGTTTCAATAATGTGCTGTTGTTCAGTCATGTCTGATTCTTCATGGCCCCATTTAGGGTTTTCTTGGCAAAGATACTGGAGTGGTTTGCCATTTCCTTCTCCAGCTCATTTTATAGATGAGGAAACTGAGTCAAACAGGGTTAAGTGACTTGGACAGGATCACACAGCTAGTAAGTGTCTGAGGCCAGATTTGAACTTAGATCTTCCTGACTCCAGGCTCAGCACTCTATCCATTATACCACCTAGCTGCCCATTATAATAAGTAGATTTTTTTTTTTCGGGCTTCTGAGTCTAAATTTTAATCATCGAAGGCTAAAATTTGATTTTAGTTGAATTTTTAATTTCTTCATCCTTTTGTAATGCAGTGTTTGCATACTTATAAAAGCTGATTTATATAGACATGTTTTGCCTTATAAAATGTCCCTCTTTGGCCATCTGAAAGTGCTGGGAATTTTGTCTTTCTGTTTTTCAAGTATAGCATATTCCCTCAAGGGCAATAATGAAGTAGTGTCACTGAAGGACCAAAGGTGTGTTTTAGGAAAATTTTTCTACTTAATTAATGTTTTGGACAAGGAAACATTTAAAACTAAGAAGATCACAGGCAACATGGTATTGTGGATAAAGTACTGAACATGGAGTGAGGAAAACTTTGTTTGAATCTCTCCCCAGACACTAGCAGTATGACCCTGGTTGAGTTACTTAACTACTCTGGGCCTCAGTTTCTTCATCTCTATAAAAAAAGGATTAAATTCAGTGACCTTTTAAGGTCCCTTACAGTTCAAAATCTATGATCAGTTAAAAGATTCAGGGAAAAAAATGTTCAGTCAAGAGAGTCTTGTGGTAGTGGTAATAAAAATGAGAAAGAAAATGGTATCTGGTAGCTGACTCCATATGGGAGGTAAGGATTAGGGAGGAATAAAAGATGCCTTCAGAATTTCAACTTGGGTTAACTGGGAGAGTCATGAAGTCATTTTGTCAGGAGGAAGAACTGAGTTGGGGTAAAGATTTGATTCAATGAAATTATTTGCCAAGCCCATATTACATGTAAGGCAGTGTGTTAAATTTGTTGAATTTGAATTGAGTGGTATTCAGATAGAGATGTACAGCACTCAGTTTTAG